TTGATCCACTACCCTTAGGAGAGCTATAAATCCTCAAATTTCCATCACTGTCTAACTTCAAGAACTTAAGTATATCAGTCCCTTCAACATAATCACTGCCATAAGCCATGATCACATGGGCAGAAGATGACGGATCTGTGAGTGATAACAACCCAATCGTAAAATGGGTGATGTAATTTTTGGCGAGTGTAGAAGATTCAGAGAAAACCCAATACCCAAAAATGTCAGAACTAGTTCTATCATCATTCTATGAAGAGAACAAATTGAGAGAATTATTGTAAAAGTGGGTTCAAGTACCACTTATTCTTATTCCTTATTTTTGTGAGAGATTTTGTAAGGGTAAGGCATTTATTGTTGAGTGAGGCTCAATAGATAAGAGTAAGTCCTGTGCCAAATCCACAAGCTTGGTGGTGTATTTATTCAATTGATAGTAAAGAAATTCTCAAGGAGGTTCCTTGGGGAGTGGACGTAGGCCTGGCGTGCCGAACCAGTATAAATCGCAGTGTTTGATTTCCTCTCCCTATCTCTCCTACTTTTATATTGATAATTATTATTCTGTTTGTTGTGTTATATTTAATATTGTGAAATTTTTAATAACCCAATTCACCCCCCTCTTGGGTTGCCTAACTGGGATAACATTCAAGAACTTAAGTATATCAGTCCCTTCAGCATAATCACTGCCATAAGCCATGATCACATGGGCAGAAGATGATGGATCTGTGAGTGATAACAACCCAATCGTAAAATGGGTGATGTAATTTTTGGCGAGCGTAGAAGATTCAGAGAAAACCCAATACCCAAAAATGTCAAAACTAGTTCTATCATCATTCTATGAAGAGAACAACAACCTCAAGAAGAAGAAATCCGAGGACGAAGCTACAGACAGAGAAATCAAGACCACCAAAGCAGTGGTGGTTGTTCCTCCTCCTCCGTCTCCGCTGCTCTCCCTTGTCGGCTGTATTTGATCCCAATCTGCTGCTTGCCGAGTCACACCCACCACTACCATATCTACTGCGGAGAAACTTCTAGCGAATGAAGATCTTGCTGGAAACTTGCCTCACAGATCGAGAAAGTATTTGTGGACTGACAGGTGTATCTAAGAAGGAGAATGGAAGTGAGGGAAAACTTCGAGAAAATGGAAGTTTTCTTGGCCTTCTGGACCTACTTTCGAAGGTGAATTCAAGTCAGGTCGTATGGAAGGTTTCGGAACCTTCATCGGATCCGATGGAGACACCTACATGGGGTCTTGGTTCGCCAATCAGAAATATGGGTACAACCAAAAACGGAGTACCCAAAGGCCATGGTGTGTTTTACTTGGTCTGATGGTAGTTGCTATGTTGGTAATTGGAGCAAAGATACCAACAAACAGTGAGTTCAAGAACTCGAAACAGGACTACCCATTACAGATTCTCAACGGGACTTTCTATCCTGGAAACAAAAAGAGAGAAGGCAAAAGGAAAGAGAGGGGGGCAGAGCATGGTATTGGTGAGGTAGGTATGAGAGATATAAGAATTAAAGGGTATTTTGGTCTTTTTGTGTTCAAATAAAAGGGCATAATGGTCATTTTGTATAATCAAGTAACGTTGTTCGTGCTAAATTAACGGATTGAGAGAATTTTGACATTGTCAAGTAAAGCAGGGGAGGTTATTGTAATTATTAAAATTACATGGGAGATCCCTGTATTTGTCAGAAATCTTAGGGAAAGTGAGTGTAATTTACCCTATTAAAAATAATTTTATTGATCCAGTGGGAAAGATTATACATTCTTATAAACATCACTTAAAAAAATGACATAGCAAGAAATTGAATTTTAATTAATTGATTTCTAAATAAATAAATTAACCTGCAATAATTTATGTTATTGAAGATAAATTCAAATGCAATTTTTAAGATAGCATTTTTCATAAAGGAAAAACGTAGGTAGCGTTTGGTTTAATTTTGGAATTATGATTTGAGAGCGGAATTGTATTTTGAATTTGTGAGTTGTTAAATCATGATTTGAGAAGAAAAAATTTATTTGATTATGAGTTTTGAAAAGAGTTTTGAATTAAATTTTCAATTGAGTTTTGAATTTTTGAAATAAGAAAAATTATTTGGTTATGAGTTTTGAAAATATTTTTCAAAACTTAATTCAAAAATTTATAACTTGTAACGAAACACACATCTCAAAATTCTATTGAAAATTATATTCAAAACTCATAACTAAACTCTTTTTAAAATTCAATTCAAAAAAATAATTGTCGAAAAAAATAATTTTTTTATTTTAAAAATTCAAGAACTTCCAAAAATATTTTTTATTTAAAAAAGAAAAAGTCAAAAAAATTCTGAAAATATTTTTTTATTCAAAAAATAATTTCTGTATTTTAAAAATATAAAAAATAAATATAAATTATTTTTTTTCAAATAATAGGTGGCAATTGAAAAAAAAAAAACAAAACAAAAGCACTGTTTCGGTCAACTGACCGGTCAACCGGCCAGATGTTCGGACAGACAACCAAGTAGACCTAATTTCAAATTTTAAAATTCAAAATTCAAAAACTCACTTTGCTAAAACATGTTTTGAAAAGAATTTTCAAACATACGTGTGAAATTAATTTTTAAAAACTCTATCTAAACACAACATTGGGGGTGTTTGTTTCAGCTTTTCAGAGTCAACTTATGGCTTTTAGCTTTGAAAAAGTTATTTTGGACTGTTTGGTTAAACTTATTTCAAACAGTTTTTGATTCTAACAGCTTATTTTAACTTAAAAAAGCTGATTCTGAGAAGCTGCTCACCCCTTGCTTCTGATTATCAGCTTCTGTTGTGGACATGTTAATTTATGGTTATACTCTTAAATTTTTTTATTTTTTATTTTTTTAAAAATAGAAAAAGACTCAAATAGACTATAGATTATTATTATTTTTTTTTTATGAAAAATGTAGACAAACAAAAAATAAAAATTAATTGAAAAAGTTATTTCACAGTTTATTTAACAAACACTACTCAGCAACTTAAATCTATAATCCAACAGTTACACCAAACAGATTAACAACTTCTGATTAAAGTCATAATCTATAATCTGTTAAGTTATAGTCTATAAACTGTTTTAACAGTTACACCAAACAGGGCCATTGAAATATGGGGTGGAATTAATTACACCCCAAAACCAAACAGAGTCCTATAGTTTGAGGCTTTGCATTTGATTCCTTTTATGCAGTCCTTAACTGTGAGTCAAGTAAAAAAAATCTCTACACTTGATCAGGAAGAAAATAAAATCCACCATTAATAAATTATGATAATAATATCTAAATTTTTATACAATCACCCTATCAAAGAATTATTTATTTTCAATTTAAAATTATTTGCCTATTATTGTTAAATAATTAGGAGAAAAAAAAATTTAGCAATTAAATTCCAAAAAAAAATGCATTTTAAACATTTAATGGAGATTTGGGGATTATGTATGAAACTGAGGGCAAATGTTGTCGTTTTTGGATAGATTTGGCTTGTTAAACTAACGGAGATGGTTGAAAAAGGTAGATTGTGACACAGAATGAAATTCAGAGTTTAAATTGATGAAATTGAAAATTTTAGTGTTTAACTTGAAAAACACGCAAAATCCTAATTATTTTTTTGTTGTTGTAATTAGTCCAAAATTTAATAAGTCCTATCACTAATATATATTTTGAGAGTAATATTATATACTCATACATTTGATGTACAAATTCATTCACGATAATATGATAATGGGATTTGATCCAATGTTATTGGATGTTTAACAAATCAAAAATTGACACTTATTCTGATATATATTACAGGTAGAATTGTGAAATTACTTTGAGAGTCTCAAACAATTTTTATATTTTAATGCAATGCTGATTATTAGACTAACACATCAGATGATAAAATAAGATTGTAGAAATAATTAATATTGGAAATGTGAAAAAATTTATCTTAAAAAAGTGTAAAAAATAAATGCCTTTCAATCCATATGTCAATATACTTAGCCATAAAAAACAAAATAGACTATTTTAGCCATAACAAACAAAACATCACATCCAAGCCATAATCATTACACTTTTCTCTCACAAAAAAAGCCAAAAAGCCAAAAAATTCTTCCCAAACCAAGTTTTTTAGCCCAGGCTAAAATAGCCAAAAAAGTCAAAAAACCAAAAAGCCAACCCACTTCCCAAACGGAGACTTTATATTTTAATGCAACGCTGATTATTAGACTAACACATCAGATGATAAAATAAGATTGTAGAAATAATTAATATTGGAAATGTGAAAAAAATTATCTTAAAAAAGTGTAAAAAATAAGAAATAAAATGTTTTAAAATTCATAAAAAATGTCTATATTTTTATTTACTTTTATATATTTTAATATATTTTTCAAACATTTTCAAGGGGTGTTTTGGGAAGTTGGTAAAAAACTGACTTTTTGACTTTTTGGCTTTTTTAGTGACTTTTTTGGCAAAAAGTTGGGTTGTTTTGGGTAAAAAAGTTGGCTTTTTTTGTTAAAAAAAAGCTAAAAAACCAACTTTTTGGCTTTTTACCATTGTTCCCAAAAGAGCCCAAGTGTTAAGCGTCTCGTTATTATTGATGAGAGAAATTACTCTTAAAACCACGTGCACTTGGGGAAAAAAAATGAGAAATTTATAGATAAGTGTTTTCTTTCCAAAAATGTATAATTAAATTAAATTTTATCACTAATTTAATTAATTAATTATAAATATTAACTGTTAATTCTCAACCAAAAAAAAAAAAAAATCACATTTATAACTCTCTCTGCTGTCTACACCCTTCTCTTCTTGTCCTTTTCTTTCCTTCTCTTTCTCTTTCTCTGCAACTATCCTCGGAGACACAATCCAAAGCAGTTCCATCTCTAAGCCTTTTTTTTTTTTCCTTTCAAAGCCACATTACAAGTACTCATCAACATCTCTCTACAACCTACATTTTGTTCTCGATCTTACTAAACTCCATTTGGCTTTCACAGAAAGAAAGCAAAAACAACCCATTAATGGAGTCCTCATCACCACTCATCTCAATTCATCAAAACCCACATCCAGAATCACCCCCAAACCCACCTCCCTCCAAGAAAAGCTTCGTCACATCTCTAATGGAAACCACTTTTCTTCGCACTCCATCTTTCAAAGAAGACACTTACTTTGTCTCTCACCTCAAATCCTCTGAAAGAAAATCACTCCAAGAACTCAAAGACAAACTCTTGGCTTCTCAATCTCTCGATTCCATGTGGGGCATTCCTCTCCTTGCTGATGACAAAGCCGATGTGATCCTCCTCAAATTCCTCCGAGCCAGAGACTTCAAAGTCGAGGACTCACTCCACATGCTTCTCAGTTGTCTCTCATGGAGGAGAGACTTTGGAGCAGAGACCATTCTTGATGAGGAATTGGGCTTTGAAGAGCTTGAAGGAACTGTGGCTTACATGTATGGATGTGACAGAGAGGGACACCCAGTTTGTTACAATGATTATGGAGTGTTCAGAGACAAAGACATGTTTGAGAAGGTGTTTGGGGATGATGAGAAGCTTCAGAAGTTCCTTAGGTGGAGAGTTCAAGTGCTTGAGAGAGGGATTAAGCTCCTTGATTTCAAGCCTGGTGGGGTTAATTCAATCATTCAGGTCACTGATCTCAAAGATATGCCAAAGAGAGAGCTTAGAGCTGCCTCTAATCACATCCTTTCTCTCTTCCAAGATAATTACCCTGAAATGGTTGCCAGAAAGGTAATCACATTCTCTCTCTCTCTCTCTCATATTTTGTTTCTGATTTTGGGGGTTTTTTGTGGGTGCAGATATTTATCAATGTGCCATGGTACTTTAGTATGTTATATTCAATGTTCAGTCCATTTCTGACTCAAAGAACTAAGAGCAAGTTTGTGATCTCTAAGGAAGGGAATGTTGCAGAGACCCTCTACAAGTGAGAGTTCAACTCTCGCTCTCCTTTTGATTCTTTGTTTACTTTTGGCTTGCTGCATATATAGATGCTGATTTGTTTGTGTAATTAGATCAATACCCAGAAATGCTGTTGTCTGATTGTTTGCTTGTTTTTGCTTCTCAACTTTCTGTTTGCAAGATCAAATTTTGAGCGTTCCTATTGTTTTGTTTATTTGTTACTTGTTAAGGGATTTGGGCTGTTGACTATTGTTTTTGTTTTGTTGTTTGCTAATAATGCCTTTTGAGTAACCAGTTCTTTTAATAACACAGAAACTCATCACATAATCTGACAAAATAGTGAGATCTACATTAACAAATATATGCAACTCTTAAACTTGTGTTTAATGTTAAGAAACAAGTACGAAAAATCCCATTTATGTATATAGCATTTTCATGCTTCATGTCATGTCTTGATATCTTCGTATAATTGCTTTTGGCTGCTATCTTTACTTGGGTGAATATCAAAATCTGCAAGACACTCTTGCTCAAATCTAGTGCAACAGCCATTTGTACCTTCATCAAATTGAAATTAATTCTTTTTTTTGATATTCCCCTTTTTTCTCCTTCCCCCTTTTTTGTCTTTCTTTATATATATATATATATATATATTTTTTTTCTTCATCGGCTTTGCGTTTGGTCAGCTAAATGAAGTGGGTTTTCTTCTGTGATCAGGTTTATTAGGCCAGAGGACATTCCAGTTCAATATGGAGGCCTGAATCGACCCAGTGATCTGCAGAATGGTCCACCAAAACCAGCATCTGAGTTCACTGTGAAAGGAGGAGAGAAAGTGAACATACAGATTGAGGGCATTGAGGTCCATTTGTTATGATCACTATTATCACCATTTCTTTTCCGCTCCCATTTCTTTGTTTTCCAATCTCCATCTAACTCAAAACATTTTAGAAAAAAGTAGAGTAAACATTTTTGAGCTTTATTTGGGTATTAGTACATTTTTACAGGAATGTGATTATTATTGTTAATATGGTTGATTAGGCTGGTGCAACAATAACATGGGACATTGTGGTGGGAGGATGGGATTTGGAGTACAGTGCCGAGTTCGTGCCAATTGCTGAAGGGAGCTACACCATTGCTGTTGGGAAGCCAAGGAAGATTGCTGCCACCGAAGAGGCAATTCACAACTCATTCACTGCCAGAGAAGCTGGTAAAATGGTGCTTATAGTGGACAATGCTGCCTCACGGAGAAGGAAAGTTGCTGCCTATCGGTACGTGGTCCGCAAATCTACAGCGGTCTAGCTTCATAAACAACTTGAGAGGTGTTGTGTTTACTATTTGCTTTGCTTTAATTAATTAATGTTTGTGAACTTTATATGTATCTATCGATCTGATATATAGTACATGTATAAATGGTGGTTTATATATTGCTTAATGCTTAATATAGAAGAAAAGCAGTTTAACTTTCCTTAATTCTAGGCTCTCTTTCCAAACCCCCTTTTAGGATTCTAGTTGGTTGTCTTTGTTAATTTTGTGATATTAAAACACCTGACTTAAATTAAGATACTGTTATGACAAAGGCAACTTATGGAAAAAAGAAACTGAAACAGAACAAATACCTAAGCGCATATGTCTATAAACTTACATTCAAAGACAAAGAACCATGAAGGAAGTTCACAACGAATTTAGAGATTACATTGTGCAGATTCTCTCTCAATAACCTTCTTTCAGCTTCCTTCCGAGAGAAGATGGTTGTGAAAGTTGAGGCAAAGTATGCCATCTGTAGGAGTTGATTATGCACCAGATTTCTTTTGTAGAATTTTCATACATAATGATCATAAATTGTTGTCATCATTTCAAAAATACTACAGCCCCATCATTTCAGATGAGTTTTTTTGCCTATAAAAATGCTAGTTTCTGTATATCACTAGGCATTGAAGCTTAGCATGATAGCCATGGAAAGCCACCAATGCAAGAGAAGCAAATTCAAGTCCATATAGAATATGAACATTTAGAACATGTAAAAAAATTAAAGCAAACATGTTGGGTAGCAGACATAAACACCTTAATATTGTTTTACATCTTATTTTTTATTTTTTTATTTTTCCCTTATTTTATAAAATGTTGCTTTTTTGATGTCATCTTTTTTTAGATTCTACTACTGCTACTTGTACTACCTCTTCTTTTCCCCTCTTCACAAGCCTGGCTTCTTCAAACATCACTTTGAAGAATGTATAAATTCTTACAGATTCATACCCCAGTAAGATTGGTAAAACCCCAATCCAGGTTCCAACGAAAATCCAGAATACATCAATAATTCAACTATTTCAAATCTTTTGCTGGTTTCCGGTGACTTAGACCCTGACTCACTGACTGTGCAAGTCTCGCCGAGTCCTTTGCTGGTGGGGGCGCTGTTATGTCGCAGTTTATCACAGTGTCGAGTCCATCATCGCTCTTCAAGTTCTTGGAGTGATGAGGAACTGTCTTTTCTGCGTATTTCTTGCTGAATTGGCTTGCATTGGACATAGATTTGGTGAGCAAAGGTCCGTTTTTGAGGAACAAGCATATGGCTGCACAATCATCGACCTTGGAATTTGGATACTTGTATCTCCAGGCTCGGACAGCGCAATCTACAAGCAGTCTAGCTGCTATGGATCGCCTTTTTGCTGAAGCAACAATCTCTATGACATCCTTGTTGGATAGCACATCCCATACCTAAGAAGAAGAAAAATCATGAAGCTTCATTTTGAGAAGATCGATGTCATGGATGAGCAAACAAATTACGGAGCTAAGAGCCCAATTGAACACCACACAAATTGGAGAAAATCAAAAAACTTTTCTTGAATCTCTCACTCAACAAGAGCTGAATATCTCATGCTATCAGCAGTAGCGCCCCAAGATTTTTTGAGACCCCGGGCCAGACATTAAAAAGAGGAACCTTAATTTGATGAATTTAAGAAAATTATGGAATTTTTTCACCCAGAAAATTTGGAAGTATATTAAGATTGAACAATACTTGGGTTGTGATTCTTACCCCGTCGGTTGCTAAGACGATGAATTCATCTCTGCTCGTAAGCTTCCGATAGGTAATCTCAGGGGTCGAGATTAGGCCAAAATCCTTCAAGCAAAAATCTCCGAATGCCCTAGCCATAGCAAGACCAGGGCAATTTTCCTCGGGCATCCATATTCGAAACACTTCTGGTTCTTCATCCATTGCGAAAACTCTGCCGTTGCAACTCTTAATTCTCGCAGCTTCTCCTGAGTAACATTACAAAGGGGTAAAAAGGGTTAAAAAGGGTCAATAACAGAACATTTTAGTCTTTCTCATAATATGCGAGCACTAATTAATGCAAATGCAAACTTACTTGGAAGATTTGGTTTCAAGTCGACTGTGAGTTGGACCGACACAAGTTCATTTTTGTCATCTCTAGTGCAAAGAACACCGCGTGAATCCCCTAAGTTTGCAATTACCAAGTGGTTACCCTGAAAATCGCAACAAACATTGATGTTGTGGGAGAATACCTGTTTCTCAATCAAAGGAGTGTGATTATAGTCTTTTTATAATATTCCGGAGTATGTATAAGCTGTCTTTTTAGCTTTTTTTTCAAACAAACTTTTAACTTTTTTTAGCCAAAAAGCTGCTTATTTTGGAGACCTAAGCAGACATAGGCTCGATATTAATGCAAATTTAAGTATTAATTAACTAACTATACCTGTTTGAGTATAGCTACTGATGTTGAACCACTGCAATAGGTGTCAAGAGTACCATCCTCACAAAGATCTTCATCAACCTCATGGAATGACTTGAGTAAATTGGCCTTCCATGAAGAAAAGAACTTATTGTTATGATCATCTTCACTGTCAACGTTCTCATCGGCTTCATTGTTGCGATTGAATCCATTTACTTGCGATTGTTTAAACATTGAGCACAACTTTGCAGGTAACATGTCGCGTACTTGTTGTGCCACTTTGTGACCCGATGGACCGTGCCCATCAAACACCGCACAGAAGTATGCATCTTTTTCGCCGTTGAAGTTCTGAAAGAAGAAATTGAAAATTCAGCCACAGGCATATTCATTAATAATTCACTAGTTTTTAGCTATTGATTCGCATAAAATGCTAAAATTTCACCATCAATAAGTCATTTTGTTATGCATTTTCTTGTTTAGGAAAATATGAAAACATGGATACCTATAAAACGAGATGATTCTGATTTTGAAAACAGATAATTGAAGTTGTGTACAAGGGAGAAAATCGAAAATGGTTAATAACAAGACAAGAATGAGAGAAAAGGGAGAATATATTAGCAACAATTTATAAGTTGTTGATAATTCAATAGTTTTTAGTTATTTGGGTAGATGATGCTTCAATGAGCTATTTGAGTCACACATACAAAATGCTAAAACTTCACCATATATAGAAAATTCGAAAGCACAAATATCTCATAGATGAAATGCTTCTTCTTCTAAAAATAAATAATTACATTTTTCTAGAACAGAGAAAAAAATAATAAAAGAAGAAAGAAGTGACCAATTATCATATTGATGATTATCAATCACACACATGAGAGTGAACCCATTAATAGAATAATTAGTTTCTGTAGCAAAATGAATCGAAAATGGCCAACAACAAGACAAGAACAGAAGAAAAGAAAGTATCACGAACATAACAATTTTATTCACAAATATATCAACAAAAGAAAGATCAAAATCAAATAATATACCCTTTAAAAAAATATGAGATAACTTGGGTCAACATACATAAACAAATAAAACAAGATCATCCCATGATAGATGAACAATTCATAAAGAAACTTAAACAACATAAACACATTAATACACATCTTATATACATAAACATAAACAATCTATATACAGAGATTGCTAAAAATTTCAATAGGTTGGGCATTAAAAAAATTATTTTATTTTTTATTTTATTTTTTTTGGGATTTAATACCTCCCAAACAGTCATTGCATCTTGATTAATCCCTTTTCTTCCTTGTTGGGAGAACATTGAAATAAACCTAGATGATCCTTCCAACCTGACACGTGGCCCAGTCTTACCACAAAGATCATAATTGCGACATATGATGGACACTTTTTTTGTGGTATGTTTTATAGAATTTCTTTACTAAAATATATCTTCTATCTCAACTTATCTTCTTTTTTAATTTTCTAATCCACCTATAAAATAGTTACTCCTCAATATTTGTATAAAATTTAATCTCAAATCCTATAATTTAAATTTCACATTTATCTAAATGAACTCTTAATATTTAAATGCAGTAATATCTCATTATTGTTTATTATGAAAAAAAAGATTTAATGTTATCGTTAATTTGTACCCCTCTTCACTGAATTTCTAGCTACGCTACTGCCACTATTCAATGTTAAGCTACACATATTTTTTGTAATCTTTAGACTAATGACATTATGTCATTTTTAATGACATGATTTTTTTTAAAAATCGAGCAAAATGAATATAGAATTTCAACCTCGAAGCCATAACCATAATTTGTAATTTATAATAGTACAAATTTTGAAGAAACTTATATTGAAACACACATATAATGATTAAAAATGAAAAAAAAAATGTGCATAAAATGGGAAGGAGGATAGTGTGAGAGACAAAATTTTAATGTAAGTTTTTTTTTTTTTTTTTTTTTTCTTTTAAAAAAAATTTGGGAAATTTTAATGTCTGTCCTGTTTTAAATAAAGGAAATTATATTTATTACCGTATTAATTTCATCGTATTAAAATTTCAACTTCTACGTGAATTTAACCGTGATGTGCATTTATATATGAACTCATTATGTCACAAAAGTGACACATGGGAGCTAAGTGAGATGTGAAGAATCAATAATGTTAGAGAAATACTTAGAAAAAAATATTAAATTGTTGAGATTCATTTCAAATTTGAATTTTATTATATAGAATTGAACATAGACCACATATCAATATTATGAAAAAATTTCTGAACATAATTTTTGATTTTCTAGCTTTTCTAGCACTACAAGAATTTACACATTTTGCGATCACTTTTACCGACTAAAAAAATTTTGGTCGCAAATAAATGACGTTTGGCGACCAAATATTAATTAGTCGCGAATGATCATTAATTTTGGCGACCAAATTTTATTGGTCGCAGAAGGTTATATTTTGGCGACCAAAAAATATGTTGGTCGCAGAAAGTGGTATATTTTTGCCGACCAACTACAAATTTAGTCGCGGAAGGTCACATATTTTTTGGCGACCAAAAATTTGGTCGCGAAAAACTTATTTTCAGCAACCAAAAAAAATTAGTAGCCAAATTAGTACTTTTAGCGACTAATATTTTAGTCGTCGTTGATTGAGATTTGGCGACTAAAAAAATTTGTCGCCGAAAGAACCTATTTTTGCAACTAATTTGAGAGTTTGGTCGCCAAAAGTTTGGGGGGAAATTTGAAACGTGGGGCGGGAATTGAATTTCAGAAAAAAAATTCCAGATTGGGGTAATTTTCTACTTCACACACTGTTGATGCATCAATCGAACCCAGATTGGGGTAATTTGGTTTAACTCGTCTCCTTCCATTCCCTCTCTGTCTCTCTCTCCCTCTCTGTTCTTCTTTCCTACCCTCCCTCTTGCGCTCGCTCCCGACGCTGGCCTCGATTTCTGCCTCTCTCCCATTCTCTCTCAGTGTCTTCAAGTCGCAATCCTCCCACTCGCAAGGTAGGGTTTCCGATTGTGAATCGCGACATTGTGCTTCGATTGGGTCACCGAAGGCTAGGGTTTCCACCACCACAGCCACCTTCATCATCATCAGCTTCCTCAAATTCTACATTGACGCCGCTGTCTTCTCTTTCTCTCTCTGCTTCGAACCCCCATGGGAGCTCTTCGATACCTCTCTCCCTCTCTCTCTCTTTCTCTCTATGCTTCTCTATGCTTTAAGTAAATCGATATTTGTTGGTGGAATTGAGGTAATGGAAAAGACTGATTATTGTCAATAATCAGTCAAGTAAATCGATTACAGAGTGGAATTGAGGTAATGCTTTTCTATGCATTTGAATTCAAAAACATGTAGTTGTTGTCAAAAAAGTTGTGTAATTACATATCCTCTGGGATTTTGACTTAGTTAAGGAACTCATTATCTTTCCTTGGACTTGGGATCTCATATTGTTTTTTTTAGAATTTCAATTAATTTCACTGATTTAGGTTGTGTGATATAGTTACTTCTAATTTTCTCCCTTTGATTATCATGTGACACATGTAGTTTGATCTGTCTCATTATCAAATGAGTCCCCAGGACCCCATGCCTCATTGTATGACTGCTGCAATATCTTCTTATTAGCTCTGCCAAGTTTTTGGTGCCATTGATACCTGGCGAAGCTACAGTATAGTACCCATAGTATGCTGAATTTTTTTAAAGGTCGCTTTTTGGTGGAAGAAAATCTTTTCAAGGTTTTGCAACATAGTATAACAAATTTCCCCCCTCTATGTTGCTTCGCACTACAAAAATTCTCCAAATAATTTACAATTAATGGCGGATGCTCCAGCGCATCACTTATTTGTGTTACTTGGTATATTACTTGTTATGTTTGCTATCCATTAATGCTTGTCTATCTCCTTCCCTTAATGCCTGATGTATTTATTGAACTCTATGCAGGTCCTGTTGATGAGTCCAAAAATCACCTCCCTGATATTCTCTGTGTTATCCAGGTTTGTTTCTTTTTTATGTGACACACACACCAGTATTTACACACCAGTATTTAAGGATTGGTAATCTTTTTTAGAAATTGAATGACTTTGGTCTTATTATACATTCATGAGGAAGGTAATCAAAAAAGAAAGAAGACGAGTTCTTTGTTTTATCACTTAGGAGCAGTGTGAGATGAAAGTCTCATGCACGGTTTTGAATGAGAGAAACAAGTGAGGAGATGTCTGCAACTCTTTTCTGTTACTGCAAACATTATTCTATTGTGACTTCTTTGACATGACATGAATATCCATTTCGCCCCTTTTATACATCCTTTTGGTGCAATGTTTTCTCCTCTTTAACCAGACTTCCATATCAATCAAATACTATTGTTGCTAGAGTTCTGTCCTCTTCATAATAAACTATAACGTGGAACATGTGCTAAGCATAATAGTTTGGAAAAATAAGTATGTTCTTGAAGGAAATAGGCTGTAACATATTAACATAATTAATAGGACGATTTTTTATGTGAAACCAAGCTTGGGGCTAAGCATTAATAAAAGCCATCTGACAAACTACGTGCCACACATTGGCTGGTCCAAGAATATATTTAGCATGAGTTTTAGAAAAAATTGTTTATATGAGATTTGGTTTCAACAATTTGATTATTATGATTTGATTGAGGGATCTTTATGCTTTTGTGGAGATCTATGACAACATCATCTGTAGCCTCATTTCTTGTGTAGCTTGTAGTTTCTCATCTAGCTTATGGCTCATATACCTCTACATCTTTGGGACGCAAGCTGTATGATGTCTGAGATTTGACTGCTTGCAAATATATTTATTGTCCTTGAGGATTGATGTCATTTTGGAGGCAACATGGCTCTGGGCACTGCCAATTAACTAGAAAATTTCTCTAAAATATTACAAGCTAATGTAATAATCTGCTTGAGAGAATAATTTTTGAAATCATCTAGAAAAACTTTTTTGATTTTTCCAACTAAATGCCTGTCCACAAAACTACATTAAGGCAACATGGAAAATGTCACTTCATTGACTGATGTGGACCATGATAACAAGAAAAGACTGGAGAATACTTCAGACCTTGTCTAGTCAAAATTTTAGGTTGAATGTTTATTATGTATTTTTCCATTTAGTATGTCGCTGGTACAGTTTGATTTGGTTTTATGAGTAATGATATTTTGGTGATCTCAAGATTTGCTGAACACAAATGTACATGGGTCTTATAATGTTAGGTAAAACCAGCTTATATAGAAATCTTTGTAGTTTTTTAATTCAGTGGATTGAGCTTTAGAAACTTCAGGCTGTGTTTGCATGAGTTTTAGAAATTCAAGACTCTCCTAGCAATAATGCCACAATGACCACATTTGTGTACCTTAAAGTGTTTACCATCTCATGTGTCATTGTTGCGTTGGTATCAGACATGACTGGTGCGGCCCTTTAAACCAACGCAATGATACCATATAAGATGGTTAAAAATGTGGTCATTATAACAATATTGCTATGTCAGATCACCAATTTTTCCAAAAGCTTAAGATGTTAGGAAATTGGCCCAACAATGTATGTCAAACTTTCCACACCTTCCTTCATGTGCAACCCGTCTTGCGTGTGGAGATGCAAACATCCATACATTGAGAGAAGTAGAATGCAAACAGGGAACAAATTAGTCATTTGTTGGTTTTATAGGCTCAGATTTGGACAATTGTGATCCATACTAGGTATTTTTGTGAACACATGCTTCTGTTTGAAATGCATGTGCTTTATTATGCTCTTTGATTTTTATTTTTTCGTTGCTAAGGGTTGCTGGCAAGATTATTAATGTATGGAATGATGTGTTGGGGACTTTCCATAAATATGTCCATTGTTTAGACACATGAAATACATTGTTAGTTTGAAAAAAATAACTTGGTATCTAATGATAAGATAAAAGCAATGGATTTATAGCTATTATTTTCTTAACCTTTAGACTTTTTAATTTTAGGTGTTCTATTTCAATTTGTGTTTTAATAGAGTTTTCTAAAATATATACTACTTTTTGTTCATTACTTCTTTTCCATATGTAGAATGTGAAAAATGATTTCTTATTAATTTGGTATAATAAAGAATATACTTACTTCCAACGTAAAAGATGATGAAATTATTTTATTTTCATGTGTTTATATATATATATTTTTGTGACTGATAAATTCAACCTAGTAAATGGGAACTTATAAGCCATCCTTATTTGTGGATTATGGTTTATTGTCTAATGGTTTTTGTCATATTGAATTATCTGCACTTTGTGAAAGTGCTCATTCTGTGTCCTCTTAAGTGGCTGTTATGTTTTGTCACCATGAAATTTTGAAGGACAGAAGCTGGATTATTTAATTGAGATGTTTGTCATGATGTGCTGTTGATATGTTGCTTGCTCTTGTGGATTACTTATTAAACAGTGAAACTAGTAGACAATGTTTTCTCTAGTCATATATATTTTCTTGTTATTGAATTTTGTGCAAGGATTTTCTGTTGATTTAAAATGTGTTGCAGTGTCGAACTTCTTTTGTTCTCATTTCTCTTCCATCTTTAAAATCAGGCAAAGTACATCTGCTATCAAGGATTATCCCATGCACTGCTTAAAAATTAGAGTTGCTTCATGTAATTTGTGGCAAAGTTGTCCACCTGTTACAAATGTACAAGCTTTTCTTTTATCTGTGGCTCGGTCTCTCTTCCAACAGGTAGCTTTCCTTCTTCAGTCAGATATATCTTCATTGGTGTGAATAGAAATATTGAATTTCATTCTCATGATGCTCTTCTGCTTCCAGATTATATATGCTCACAGAAAATCATTTGAAGCTGATAAGTATGCTGTGATTAAGTCTCTTCTTGGTTCCTTTCAGAAAAATATGATAACGGTATGCAAGTACTTTCAAGTCTTTCAAATTCAGTAAAAATTATACAGTATGTGAAATGCCTACAATAAGATTTTGCAGCATACCTATGGATGTTCGTTTACTGCATTTACTTTTCTATCCTAGACAAGTATTGTAAGATACTATTGCATGTATTTGTAATGAAATTATAACATATTTTATAGAGTTTATTAGTCTCTAGTTTGAATGATTGGTAAAAGCATTTTTTCTTACTCTCATTTGGTCAAAATTTTTGTTGGTCAACTGTTTGATTCTTTTTAACTCTGTTTACAGGTAGACGACATAAATGATGTGCTTTCCATGCTTGCATCATCAAACCACCTTGGATTAGCTTCCTTGGTGAATTCCTTCATTAAGCCAGTGCTTGGGGAACTGTATCTTCAATGCTCGTCTACTGGTGAGTTTGTGGTCTGTCTTTTAAACTATTTTTTGTTTAGAAAATAATTATATTTGGTACGGGACTAGTATTACTTGACTCTTTAGTTGTTGATGATGTTTGACATTTCGACATTTTTATCATCTGTCTCTTTTGTAGACCTGGTATATAATCTAGGGTGTGCATGGTTAAGATTGGGAGGCTTACGTTATCATCTCTTGATTACCTTTGATGATCTGGATCCTGCCATGAAATACTCTTGCAAGCACTTGAGGTTGGTCGAAAAGATTGGGTTGCTTGAACTTGAAAATGAGGTATGTTTTCCCTCTACAGTTTCCTGTTTTACATAAGCATGTGATCAAATTAGTCTAATTCTGTCTCATATATGTTTCTGCTGCGAAAATTTGGATTGCCCTTTTCTATTGCGGTGGAAACATGTGTGCTGTGGAAGTGAAGAACAAACAGGGTCATCATTAAAACAAAAGTTGATGGTGTGTAAGCATGCATTATGGCATTTATGGATTAGGATTTCTAATATGGAGTGCTTCTGTGTAATGTGGAAATGGTTAAAAAAATTAATTTCTTTATTTATGCGTATGCATGTTTGTGCATGTGCTTTGGAAAGGAGTGGAGAACATATATGTATGCTTATTCAAATTTTGTACCTTAGTTTTTTCAATTAGCAAGGCTTTCTTTTAGTGTTTCTTGATGCCATGAGAATGTTACAATTTCTGAATATAAATGTTTGAGCCATGCATGAACTTTTGCTTTTCCCATATTTCTTTGATAACCAATTGGTGCCCTACTAGTACACTTTGAAAGGGAAAATTAATCCTAGTCCTTGCTCGAAGTTCTTGTATTATAATTAGGGGTTAGTTGGTTTGTTGAGGGGGGAAATTATTGGCAGAGGCACTTGCTGCTTGCTTCTTGTTGCATATGCCAACTTTCTTCCTTTGTGGCATGTGCATTTGGAAGCTTACACATGCATGCATTCGAGCTAAAATGAAACATGATTTCCTCTTGCTGTCATAAGTCAATGTTTGAAGATGGCAATAACACTTGTCATGTCATTTCTTACAGGTACGGAAAGAGAGTGCCTATTTAGCTGGATGGGTTTCATGGGGTGAGGCTGACAAACAAAGAACAATGGCATTGGAAAACCTCAAAGCTGATTGTAAAAGTCTTAAAGGAAAGGTTTAGTGACTTCTAGCCCAACCTCTGTCTCTCTGTAAATATATTATATCTCATAGATTAGTGGTATTGGGGCCATAAAGTTTAGATATTTACACTCCAATTGATATGGGGATCCAATTCTGGAAAGTCTAGCTATTTTCCTTGATTTTTAGTGTGAACTAATGTGTTGTAGTAATTGGCTGCATGATAATGCTATAAATTTTTTTAATATAGAACTCTTGTTGCTTTAATTTTTTTTTTCTTTATCCTTATCTTCTTTTTTTATTTTTCTTTTTTTTTCACACCCTCTTAATGAGTTTTGTTTCGGCACGCAGATTGTGTTCCGCTCTGATCCTAGGAAATTTGTAAAGTTAAAATATGAATGTGAGGAGTTTCTTTAAATGGTTGCAACTTCTGTTGGTCTGATCATAGATGTTGATAGCATGGACAAACAACAGATTAGTGACCAAGTGTGCAATTTGCAGGTATAAATTAGCTGTTTTTGATTGAATACTCGTTTTTAACTATTTGATTGTACGTTTAGATGAACTGCTTATTACATGGGCCTTTTACTTTTTCCTTAATGCAATTGTATCCTTTCAAATTATTATGCTGTTCAGTTAATAAGCTACTCATAAAATTTTACAAATATGATTCATGACATCCATTTTATCTTTTGATCTATCAAGAAACAACAACCCGTTTCATTGATCGGCTATCAAATGAATATTCTGCATACGTCGATATAATTCAACCAGTTCAAGTTGCTATATATGAAATGAAACTAGGTTTATCGTTGGTTCTATCAAGTGCCATTCAGAAAATTTATCGTTGGTTCTATCGTTGCTAAATTTATCGTTGGTTCTATCGTTGAAACTAGGTTTATCGTTGGTTCTATCGTTGCTAAATTTGAAAACTACCTGGTAGGAGACAATTTATTCATTTATGAGATTTCCTAGAGGCTTTGCATTTGATGCTGTTTCTGTCAGGATCGACTGTGGGTTGGCCAAGTTTCCTTCATGTGATATAGATTTCCTTATGGACACAAAGGCAATGGATATGAATTTGCTGGAAAGTTTGGTTACTTCGACAAGAGATGTCAATTCTGATAAGATGGTATGTGACTCCTTTGATTTAATTTCTTGCCTGTATACATGTTCTGATTTAATTAGACTCATGGGTATATTGTCTTTGTATCTCATGGTTCTTCTAGTTTTCCATGTGCTTGACTTTTGTCTGAATTGATGAGAAGTTGTGTATTCAAATACTTCCCATTGATAACAGGTCTCAGACTTGCAACTGAAAGCTTCCATACGTCACAACATTCTTCTCCGTGTAGCGCATTCTATTGCTGAGGCCCAATTAATGGATAATGCATCTTTTGTTGTAAGAATTGCTCCTCTGTAGGATTTCAAACAAAAGTATTCCAGAAATTTATTTGCATCAAGGCTTTTAACTAATATGGTGTATTTATCAATCAGCTCTTGGATAAGACATTTGATGAGTTTGCTAGCCTTTGGATGAATATGAAAGTTGAAGTAAAGACCAAAGAAGATCATGAAGCTCGACAATTCAAGTTCAAGCCTCGTGCATTTAAGATAGAGAACATAATGGAAATTGACATATCAACTCTTGGTGGTTCATTAGAAAATGAGATACTTTCAGAATGGCAGGAATTGCTTTCTGATGAAAAAGTTGCTGAAAAGGTAATTATAATTTGTGTTTGTGCTGTGTGTATAGTTGTTTTTCTCATAGTGTCTTTTCATCCATAAAGAAAGTTGCAATATTTGTGATGGTTTTTCCGTTATTTGTATATAACCATTCAATTCTAATTTGTGTCGATGAAGAGAAATGCATGGAAGTGGATTGGAGGGACCCATTCCATCAAACATATCCCTTTTGAATCAGTTAACTGAATTGTGAGTACAAAACATTCTTATAGCAACAAAGTAGTTTTAGGAGGTAATGTTATTTTGTTGATTTTTTTGGTTGATAGCGTACTGTTGATAGAATTGCTCATGGTGTGATCTCTTTGACCAGGAGAATCAGTGACATAAATGGGATGGCTCAGGAATTTCCTACCTTGAGCAACACCACAGGGCTAGTAAGATTGTATGCTTGATGATTATATAATTTGTAATGTTCAATATTTATAGTGTGTATAGATGAGTTTCATCCTGAGTTTAATTTTATTCATTTTTTTTCGTATTGAGGGTTTTGAGAAACTACAACATTTCTGGTGAAATCTCGAAATATATTTGAAAAATGATGAATCTGCAAATGTTGTAAGTAAAGCATGTTAAGCTTTGGTGAATGATTTTTATTTGACCCTCAGTGTTTTCATCAATGTATAATTGATTACACGACCAAAGCGATTTAATTTTCCATCATGTTATTGTTATTGCTGTTAGTTTTTTTCACTCTCAAGCCACGAAAAGGACAAATCATAGCTCATTTATATGACAGTGCTTATTGAATTTTGTTCACAAATAGTATATAATTTTTGATCATCATGCAGGTGGATTCTGTAGTTTACCTTGTTGACGTGTACGACAAAGAGAGATTTGCAGAGGCCAAAAAGGACCTGGATGCCCTACATAAAAAAGAACAACAATACTCAACAATACTCAACCTTGTTAACACCAGATGTTCTTTTATTTTTAAATTGATGCTGATTATGTTAAATTGTTGTTGGAATGAATTGTTTTTTGTTTTTTGGGGTTTAGAATAGGGTTTTGTGAATTGTTCCTTGTTTTTGGAATCAATGTTGCTACTGCTGAGTTATGTGTTGAAACTTGGATATAGAAAATTTTATAATAAGACCTGTTTTGATTATGAATTCGTCCTATTTTGATTATGAATTCGCTAAATATTACAGGTGTATTGTTTTCCTGCTTTGGTGACCAATTTATTAGTCGCGACAAATAAATTATTTTTTTTCACAAAAAATGACAATTGCCGACCAAGAGTTTTGGTCGCAAAAAATACATTTATTGCCGACCAAAAATTTTGTTGGTCGTGGAAACTCACTTTTGCCGACCAACAGTTTTGGTTGCGAAAAGTAACAATTGGCGACCAAACTAATTTTGGTCGCACAATGTCACAATTGGCGACCAAACTTTTTGGTCGCGAAATGTGTCAATTGGCAACTAAGAAATTTGGTCGGCAAAATGCGACTTTTCGCGACCACAGTGTTTTAGCGACAAAATGAATTAGTCGCGGTAATTAAATATTTAGCGACCAAAAATTTAGTCGGCAAATCCAACTTTTGCTGACCAACGAAAATTTTGGTCGCGAATTACTTTTGCCGACCCTCAATTGGCGACCAAACTAGCGACCAAAAAAATTGGTCGCGGATAACTTTTGCCGACCAAAAATAGACTTTTAGCGACCAATTTTTTTGTTGCTAAAAGTGTTAATTGTTGTAGTGATATAAAACCCGCATTATGTCTCATGAATGCGTTACATTCTCTGTTTAATATATGTGTTTTAATATTAATATATTGTGAAGTCCATGTATAAAATCAAACTCAACCATAATATTTTTTGAGTTTGTAACATGGTTAAAAAAGAAATCATATTTAAATACATTAATTTTTTTTAATACTAACAAATTGAAAAGTCACTAAAAAACCAAACCCCAAACCACACCTTAGTTTATTGCAGCCGTCCACGCTAAGCAGGTGACTTGGAGCCCAAGAGTGCCTGCCTCTGTAATGACTATGTGTAAAGTAAATACATTTGGACATAACCAAAAAAGACTTCTAAAGCATATTATAGTCTATATATATACAGATATTGCAAAGTCATATTTCCATTATAATCACAATAAGTTGTCAACATTGTTTTCTTAGAACTTCCATGGCTGGCCTTCAATACAAATTCTTCCCTACTGATTTCTTCTTTCCTCCTCAACAGTCGGTCAACAACACAGACATTCCTCTCCGGCAAGTTCTTCCGATTAAGCCTCGAAAAATCGGTGATATTAACGGCTGTGAACAACCCATAACTCCAATCATCAACGACAAGCATCTGAAAGCTTCTCCATCCTCATTGTTGCCCATATCTCCCATTGGCAAGGAAAATCAGAGCAAGCTTCACTAGGCAATTGTATCGTGTTCTTTAAGAGACCGAGGTAAAAGCATATTTACTTCGGTCTAAAAGGCTAAGCAGGTATGGGCCGAGCTAACTAGACACTGTGCTTGGGAGAGCCGAGCTATCTTGGCCTTATGCATTGGAGCGCCGAGCTAACTCTTACCTCATGCTTGGTTAGCTTGGTGTTGAGTAAACAGCCCAGTTGGAATATGTCAAACCGAGGAACACGCAGTGAAAGGAAGAACCGAGCTTGTTGGAGTTCGGTCTAATTTGCGGCTCTAGCATGGCCATGTTAGCTCGGTCATATTGACATCCAACCGTGGTAAAAGTATCTCACTTGGTTTAAGCAGTGAGGGGGGTGTTGAAGGATAAGCATCATCTTTCAGGAGTATGATTCCTAGGAGGACTCTGCATGGAGGAATAAGAGTCCTACTAGGATTGTGCCACACGGAACCTATAAAAGCTCATAACATCACCTATGGAGAGGTAACACAACTTTGATTCCTGAATTCATAGAGCTTTTGTGTCTATTGTCTATTGTGCTGACTTAGGCATCAGAGGGGTTTCCGGCACACACCCGTCGGTTAGCTCACGTTTGTGTTTTCAGGTGGTAAAGTGACGATGTTTGGAGGAGTGCAAGCTTGATCAACAGGATCATACGAGAAGAATTATTTCGTGCTCGTACAATTGGCACCGTCTATGGGAATTCCACAAAGAACAAAACCTCTTGATCAAGCTTTCCTCTCTAGTTGACATCAATGGCGCACCATGAAGACTTACCGCAGTCCGTTATCGATGGACAAACCCCAGAGGGGGGTGGGAGGCGCGAAGGTTTGCCTTCTATCCTTCCCATGGCAGATTTAGAGCCCCAGCGACAGAACCCCCGGAGGGAAACAAGGGAAAGGCGGGGTAACAGCCCTCGTCACTCTCAAAGCCCCGAAAGGCAGAGGCGGAGGATTAACCCTCAGGTTCTGGAGGATCGCGTGAAGGAACATGATGAGTTGATACGAAGGATGGCGGCAGACATGGAGTTGATGAAGCACCAGATAAAAGGAAAATGGGTGGTGACAGGAGAGGGGCGCAAAGGCAGTACGCCTCCTCGCCACTCTGAAGGTCGTGGTAGACACACCACGCCATCACAAGCAGAGAGTAGGAGCCTTAAAACAGGCGACACTCAAACAAGGACGTCCAGGACTCGTTACTCCAGGTCTGAGAGAACGAGAATTGAGAGGTCATATACTGAAGGAAGCACCTATCGGCCCTCGCATACGCACCAGACGTCATCCAGGCAGACGAAGTTGCCTAGATCATCTGATTTGCGAACGGTGCTTGAAGAAAGAGCTCGATGGAAGGAGGATGCTAGGGCACGCGGCCCGCGTAGAGTTTCAGCCTTTCAGCGGCTGGCTCCTCGGACACATGGGAGCGTCGAAGTAGGAATGCCAATACCGCACCCTGCTTACGAACCAACGGACAAAGCATTAGTAAGGTTACATAGTTCGCCGTTCGTTCCAGCAATTGAGAACGCGCCATTACCTTCAGGCATCCTTCAGCCCAAGTTTACGACTTACGAAGGGAAGACGGACCCCTACATGCACCTAAGTCACTTTCGCCAGGTTATAGCAGTATACCGGCGGAACGAGGCTTTGATGTGCATCCTATTCCTATCCAGCCTGGGCGACCTAGGTTTAACTTGGTTCGAAAGGTTACCAGAAGGCAGCATCGCCTCCTGGGTGCAATTGGCGGAGACGTTCGTGACAAAGTTCAGAACGAACACCAAGACACCAGTGGAGATGGACCAGCTACTGTCCATTGACATGGGCGACAAGGAGACACTGAGATCCTACAACAGCTGCTACTGGGAGACCTTCAACCAGATAGGAGATTGCCCCACCAATCTTGCCATCGTGCAGTACAAAAGAGGGCTACTAGTCGGAAATAAGTTGAGGGATTCAATTACTATAGCACCACCCCTCACGATGGAGGCCTTAATGGAGAGAGTACACCAACACATTCAGGTGGAGGAGGACGGCACCCGTGCTAAAGCAAAATCTGGCACATCAGCGATAGCAGATAAAAACACTGCGGCAAAGATCAATACGGTAAAACGCCCCAGTAGGAACGGGCGAGGTAGGTAGGCCAACAGAGAGGACTCAAACAAAAGATGGTTAAGAGTCCGCACTGCCATCACAACGGTGTTCAGAAAACCAATCTACCAGATTCTCAGTGAGATACGCGATGAACCTTTCGTCAGATGGCCAGCTAAGTTGGGAGAAGCACAGAAAGACTATGACGAAAGGTCGCGGTGTACCTTCCACGATGAAAAGGGGCACCGCACTGAAAATTGCACGCCATTAAGACAGCACTTGGAGGAGTTAGTGGCAGCTGGGCACCTGGACCAGTACATAGAAGGAGGGACACAACCAGTCTCCCAGAACCACGACAACCCAAACGGAATGTTGATCGACAACCTACCTCAAGGCGTGATCAACGTAATACATGGGGTATTCGAACCTGAGCGAGTATGTGAGCTCAGGGGAATGATCAAGAAGGCTGAGCACTTGAGGGAGGTATTAAGTGCACAACCTGCCATCAAAAAGGGGAGAACAAAGGCCACGAATGTCATATCTTTTTCAGATAGAGACTTGGCAAGAATATATTGCCCTCACAATGATGCACTAGTTATCACTCTCCGCATCAAGGATTTCGACGTCAAACGGATTTTGATTGACCAAGGGAGCTTATGTGAGATAATGTATTACGAAACCTTCAAACAACTGAAACTAGATGATAAACACTTGGCACCCACCGTATCCCCCCTGATCGGATTC